GGTAACAGAAGCATTGGCGAATAGCCCGCACGTTTTCCACACCATTCTCACTAGGCAAATATTTCAGATATTCTTCCAACCTAGTAGTGCACGCAACATTATAAGGGTTATTCCTTCTTTGTAGCGGCTTCCTTCTGCCCAAAAGCGAAAAAATAGTCTTTCTTACTCTGGCACAAATTAAAAAGCACGCTTTCCGCTTCTTTGTTAGAGAGTAATGATTGATATTACCGGAAGTTTGTTGCGGTCAGACACGAGCTGCTGCTATCGCAACCTTGAAACCGACCGAAAGGCGAATAAGTAGAGTTGTAGTTAGCGCATTACGAGTACCCGACTGATTGAAATTTGTTGCATTTTCATGAAACTTTGTAATATAATTCATTACTTTTCTTTTAAAAGGAAACTAACGTTCTGGACAATTCCATCCCGTTCTCTTGTAATTGATTACCAGTAGTCAATTACTTTTTTTCAAAATGAAGTGCTAACAAGTCTTCTACGGTAGATCTCATCGCAAAAAGTATCCTACCGCTTCATAGGAACCTCCCCCCCCCCCCGTCTTGTCAGAAGGGGATCCCCACACAGTCTATTTTCTCAGCTTTCCCTCTCGCCCCACCGCCGAAGTCTAGTGCACGGCTAAAGTACTCGGCTGCTGAGCCGCACGTCATGGGATCGAATCTTGGCCACAGTGGTTGCCTTTTCGATGTATACGAAAATGCTGTAGGCCCATGTGCTGAAATTTGAGTGAACGTTAAAGAACCCAAGGTGGCCGAAATTTCCGGAGCCCTCCACAACGACGTCTCGCATATTAATATGCTGGTTTTGAGACGTTAAACTTTACATATCTATCAATCAATATCAGTTTTTGCTCGATCTTATCTGGAACGGCTAGCGCTAGCTAGAAGTTGCGAAGTGCACTTATTATTATTATTATTATTATTATTATTATTATTATTATTATTATTATTATTATTATTATTATTATTATTATTATTATTATTATTATTATTATTATTATTATTATTATTATTATTATTATTATTATTATTATTATTATTATTATTATTATTATTTTGCTGCACTATAGTACCATTTCTTCCCTTACGCTTGCCCTGAGATGAGAAAGGGTTCGGCGTAGCAGCTGACTATTTTATAGGAAAACGCTGAAGACTCAGAGACAACTTTGAGAAAGTCCTACTGAAAGTTAACTACGTCTAACAATATATCACATATACTGCATTAACCAACCTTCACGCAAGCGTCCACCATTTTTTGTCTGTCCCATGCAAGTAACGGTGGTTCGTTGTAGCTCAAGTGAAACTGTCTTATTCTTTTATAGCAATAGACTTCTGAAGGAAAGTATTCCAAAAAGTTATCGAGAACATCTATGCATTCATTCAGTTACTTGTCAGGAGCTGTAATTGACCCTGCATTTTAGTCAGTAGAGGCCGGAGTTTCGGCGCTGAGAAAGTACGTTTTAGGTGCCAAAAGTAGGCTCACAGAACAACGTTTAAGGCATCCGATATCGCAAATATAGGCAAAATAAATCTCTACATAAATGAAAAACACTAAAAAAAAGACGTGTACAATCTGTATTGACAGCAACAGAGCAAGAAATGTTACTTTTTACGATGGAATAAAGGCGCTAACAACATAGCTGTGCAAACGTTCTTTGTACCGCAGGGTCAACCATGGTATTCTGTCCATGGGGTCATGTGCCCCATGTTCAATCAAAGCACTCCTGGGTATCCTTTTTCTTTTTTTTTTTTTTTGAGGCGCAGTAGGGAAGGGCAGAGCATAATGCCACACCGCTACAAGACTGGAATGAAGGGATGACTCTCCGGGTCGAATCATGCCTGGTCGATTTATCCCCTGATGCAGTGAACGCCTTGAAGGGCCGCTAAACCACCCAAACGTCAAAATTTAATTGTGACGTTGCAGTCGTATAGAACGAACGCGTAGCCGTAAGAATGTATTTATGCGGTACCGTATACGGGAATAGCAGAGCCCCTGTCACACGGGCACCCACGAACCCCGCTTATTTTCCTCGCCCGTCTGTTATTTAGGAGGTGGTAGGTTGCCAGTGGATCTATAGTCTTGCGAAATCGGCCCGCAGCTCGCAGCACTGCCTGGTTTGGTATTCTTGATTATGACAGCCTTCTGAACCCGATACCCGATGCCTTTGTTTAATTGAACTCCTAAATATCGGAAAAGGTTCAGCGGCCCTTTTAAAAGTAAACCGCAAACAAAACAAAAGCCGCATGAGCACCAAGTCTTTCTTTCTCTCTTTAATTTCTGTGGTTTCGCATTCACCGACCGCTCGCGCCATCTCGACGCAGTGGCGGCGGCAGTCCCATTGCACTTTTACTAGCGGCTCTTTTCCCGTAGTTGGCTGAAGTATAATACTATACAGTCGGAAACAACATATTAACCCTGCTGCTCAGCAGCAGGACAGCTGGACTATGTGCCCGCCCAATGGGCCCCTAGTCCAGATTTGCATCACAAGCCGCATGGCCTTTAGCCACGGAGAACATGAGCGATAATACTTCTTTAATCGAGGAGGCCATCGGCTGTCATGCTTCAGTCATTCCGTTGGAACCTCTTTGGACTTCTTTTCTATCCGACTATAGATTGAGCACCATGAAGTCTAGAATGGTCAGTGTTGCCTGCATGAATAACGGTCTCTAGCTTCACTCAAAAGCGAAATCGTCAGGCTAATGCAGGGCACCTTGCAGGGCATTTGTGGGCCCTACGGTTCATTTATGCCTCAATATTACCGATGCACTTTTATAGGTCATAAATAAAACACTACACAAGCCGTTCTTCAAGCCTTTCCTCAAATTTATGCTGATATACAAAAGTGGCTTGAAATGAGCACAAGGAACAGATAGGCATGAGCCTACAGTCCGGCTTCTATTAATCAGTTACATATTGAAGTAATGTTATTCGCAAGTCGTTTACTTTTTTTACCGTCATCATCATCATCATCATCATCATCATCATCATCAGCCTGACTACGTCCCCTGCAGGACAAAGGCCTTTCCCATGTGCCGCCAGTCAACTCGGTCCTGTGCTTGCTGCTGCCAATTTATACGCGCAAACTTCTTAATCTCATCTGCCCACCTAACCTTCTGTCTCCCTCTAACCCGCTTCCCTTCTCTGGGAATCCAGTTAGTTCCCCTAATGACCAGCGGTTATCCTGTCTACGCGCTACATGCCCGGCCCATGTTCATTTCCTCTTCTTTATTTCAACTATGATATCCTTAACCCCCCCTTTGTCCCCTAATCCACTCTGCTCTCTTCTTGTCTCTTAAGGTTACACCTACCATTTTTCTTTCCATTTCTCGCTGCGTCGTCCTCAATTTAAGCTGAACCCTCTTTGTAAGTCTCCAGGTTTCTGCTCCGTAGCCAAGTACCGGCAAGATACAGCTGTTATATGACTTTCTCTTAAGGAATAGTGGCAATCTACCTGTCATGATTTGGGAGTGCTTGCCAAATGTTCTCTACCCCATTCTTATTCTTCTAGTTATTTCAGTCTCGTGGTTCGGCTCCACGGTTATTACCTGTCCAAATTAGACATGGTCTTTTACAACTTCAAGTGCACTATTACCTATCTCGAAGCGCTGTTTTTATTCCGAGGTTGTTGTACATTACTTTCGTTTTGTGCAAATTAATTTTAAGACCAAATTTTCTGCTCTCCTTGTCTAGCACCGTAATCATGTGTTGCAATTTGTCCCCTGAGTTACTCAGCAATGCAATGTCATCAGCGAAGCGCAGGTTACTAAGGTACTCTCCAATAACCCTTATTCCTAACTGTTCCCATTCTAGGTCACTGAAAACCTCCTGTAAGCACACGGTAAATAGCATTGGGGAGATCGTATCCCCCTCCCTTACACTCTTCTTGATTGGTATTCTGTTGCTTTATTTATAAAGCACTGTGGTAACAGTTGATCCTCTGTAGATTTCTTTCAGGATGTTTATATATGCTTCGTCGGTGCCCTGATCCGGCAGTGTCTACCTGTCTGCTGATATTTCTACTGAATCAAACGCCTTTTCGTAATCTATGAAGGCTATGTATAGTGGTTGGCAATATTTTGAGCATTTCTCTATTACCTGGTTGATGGTATGAATGTGGTAGATTGTTGAGTAGCCTGTTTGAAATCCTGCTTGTTACTTTGGATTATTGAATTCTAATGTTGTCTTAATTCTGTTAGCAATTACCTTTGTATAAAGCTTGTATACTATGGAGAGCAAGCTGATCGGTCTGTAATTCTTCGAGTCCTTGTCATCACCTTTTTTTATGTATTAGGATGCTGTTAACATTCTTCCGCGATTCTGGTACTCTCCCCGTCAGGGGACACCTCGTAAACAGGATCGCTACTTTTCGAACACAATCTGTCCTCCATCTTTCAGCAGATCTGATGTCACCTTATCCTCACCAGCAGCTTTGCCACTTTGCATGCTCTCCAAGGCTTTTCTGACTTCTATCATTTTTGGTGGGATGTCATCTGGGTTACTGCTACCTCTTATATTAAGGTCGTGGTTGTGCTGGCTACTGTACAGATCTCTGTCTAACTCCTCCGCTAATTTTACTATCCTATCCATATTTGTAGCTACTTTGATTTCCTTGTCTCTTAATGCAAACATCTGGTTTTTGCCTATCCCAAGTTTTCTCTTCACTGCTTTGACGCTTGCTCCGTTCTTCAGAGTGTTTTCAATTCTCTCCAAGTTATACCTTCTTACATCGGATACTTTACGCTCATTAATCAACTTCGAAAGCTCTACTAACTCCTTTTTGTCTGTTGTACTTGAGGCTTTCATGCTTTGACGCTTCTTAATGAGATTCTTTCTTTCCTGGGACAACTTGCCAGTGTCCTATCTAACTACGCTACCTCCAACTTCCACTGCGCACCCCGTAATAATACTCGTCAGATTATCATTCATTGCGTCAACGCTAAGGCTGTTTTCCTCGATAAGAGCCAAGTACCTGTTTTGAAGTGAGACTCTTAATGCATCGCGATCTCGGAGTCGACGTTCTCCGGTGGCACGCCCACGTTGGTGAGCACGACTTGAGCACGGCCAACTCCTTGGTGAGCAGCTCGACCTTCTTGCGCAGCGAGTCTTCTCGCGGTTCAGCTCGGACACTTTGCGCTCGGTGTCCCGGGAGCGCTGCTTGGCCTTCTCGCGGGACTTGCGCACGGCGATGTTGTTGCGCTCGCGGCGGCGGCGGTACTCGTCGGAGCCCTTGTCGAGCAGCTTCTTGCCGGCAGAACTGCGGTGCGGCTGCGGCTTGGCAGGGGGTGCGCCCAAGGGCCGCAGTCCAGCAGCGGCGGCCACGCCGTTGTGGTGTGTCGGAGGACCTCCGCCGAGCCTGTGCAGCTGAGCTCCTTGAGGTGGCGGAGGCGGTGGTGGCAAGCCCAGGGGTC